CCAACCCCTCCTATTCTTCGTGCTGACGTAATAACTACACTACCAATGCAAGCTTCATGTCTAATTAGGTACACATAGGTTCAACAGACTCGCTCCTACGAGCACCAAGAACAAGGTTGAAATTCCACATTAGAGTCTGGCCTTAACAATATACCCTTGAGAAAGCAATTACTGGGGTGATAACGGATAACGTACTCTGAGCAAGCTAATGGAGAGGCCACATTTTTTTAGCCTCAAGATGGCATCAAGGATAGTGCATAACAAGGCCAACTGTGAAATTATCTGTTTCTCTCTGCACTAAAGAAACAATCTTTTCCACTTGTGTGCATATGTTCTGAATGTAGACAAACGTCGGCTATTAAGTAGACTATCTTGAATTTCCTTGGAACAGCATATGTCAAGTTTTGTTATCCTTAAGATGAAGTGTTGACATGTTGGATGATGAGGCGAAGTCACAGCTATCCGGTCAAGGTATGAGAACTAATGTTTATCGGCTAAACCATCCAGATCGCCAATACATGTATACCAAAAGTCTACCACGTGGAAACAATCTCAGAAGAGTAGCCATGTTAGTCTGTAACTTTAAAAATAATGAGTAGTCCCGTGGCACCTTGGAGATTAACCAAAATATATAAAATCATGAGCTTTGGTAAGTAAAACCCACCAACCATTTGAAGATGTTTCAAATCTTTGAAAGCAAAAAAACCATGGTCAAGGTTATGTGAGTGAATAACAGGAATAACTAAAGGTAGATTATGATCTATTGCCAGCTAAATTAACAATTACAACTCAAGATAACTTGCAATTTAGCTTTCACTTATTAGTCCTTTGAGAATTACTTGGACTGTCGCTGATAAGTAAATAAGCAGGCAATGTTAAGCAACAAATCAAGGGACAGAAAGATTGGGATATAAATGGCACAGCCCCCCCCCACCATCTCTGAAATGATTTTAAGATGTTGCTTAAATCAAATGGCAAAGCAAAGTCCAAAGTCCATATAATCACTGCACTGTATTTGGGCTATTTACAATTTATAAAATAATATTCTCACCATATCAGTGATACCCAGGAAACTAAAGGCTTGTCTACAAAGGGGGAAAAACCGGAATAGCTAGTGTGGTATAGATCATTAAACTAAGCTTCAAAAAGTTTACTCCAGAACAAGAATTGCCACATGGGGAGTTAGTGGGAAATAGTTATTTGTCCTTAAAGTCACAGGTTGCTATTTTGTACTAACTTCCTAAGAACATAAGAATGGCCGTACTGATGAATTCCTGATGAATTTCCTGTGTAGACAAGCCTTGAAAAAGTCTGAATGCTATATTTTTCAGTTCAAAATAAAAGAAAACAAAACATTATACTATTTGCAATATTTAACACTCATGTTGTGACAAACCTCCACATGCTTTATGAAATTGTCTTTTGTGTACAGATAGGCATAACTCGAGGTATTTTGTCCAAAGCATCTTCATGTAACCTATCAATTTTAATGTCACCATCTGCTGGATCTGTATAACTTATTTGGTGTATGAATCACTCTTTTATATAAGTTAGAGATATGGAGTAGGAAATGGTTTATGGTTTTAAGTGTGCAAGTGAAAGCCATCAAGGGTGCTTCCTATGCTTGGGACACCTCAATGTCTCGGTCATCACCTGTAAAAAGCCTCCTTTGTCCTTTAAGTCTAAGTAGTGGTTGGTCTTGGGAAGACATGTGACCACAGGAGGGTGGAATGTAGAAACCAAGATATGAAGCCTTTTTATGTCTATAGCTAGACTGAGCTCATTTTGTGCCTTAACCTTTCTAATTTTGACCCTACATACTTGAGTTATTTATATTCATCCTTTGTACTATGACCAAGTTTCTACTTTTTATAAGGCTCCTTTTTTGATTTTTAGGTTGTTCAAGATCTCTAGGTTAAGCCAAGATGGTTTCCTTCAACACTTCTTTACACAGTAGAATAGTATGGTTTTGCACCCTTAAGAATGTCCCTTTGAGAAACTGCCAACTGTCTTCAATTGTTCTTCTCAGTCTTGTTTCCCACAGGACCTTACCTACCACTCCCTGAGTTTACTGACGTCTATCCTCTCTCTTTGGTTTGCTGTTCTCCCTCCTACCATTTCTTAGAATCATTAAATCTATTATTTTATTATCACTTTCACACAAGTTGCCTTCCACTTTCAAATTCTCAACCAGTTCCTCCCAATTTGTTAAAAATCACATCTACAATAGCCCCCCTCCTTGGAGCTTTCCCCACCTTCTTAAAATAAAGGAAGTGTGGCCACATGTCTCTGTAGATCCAACCACAGGTTGGGCTTACAGGAAAAACAAACTCATTTAAAGATCATTGTCTTGAGCACTAGACCATTATGTTTCTGGATTATCAGTAATGGCCCTCATGAGCACATTCAGAATTATGAACAGATACACATTTCAAATTTCTAACTTCAAGAATGATGAATGCACAGAAAGAGAATATACACATTCAACAGATTAGAAAGTTAAAAATGATGCATTATATGGTGCATTTTGCCTAAAGCATCTTCAAGTTATTCATATTTATAATCCAATTTTCAGAAAGCATGGGGGCATGACGGCCAAAAAAACAAAATCTCTCTCAGGGGAGCAGCTTATAGGAAAAAATATAGCATACTGAGTATTTAACTTTTTGTAAACTGAAAAAAATTAGAAAAACTGAGCGGTTGTGTGTTATCCATCTAAATAAAATAAGAATAGTGGTATTAAAAAAATCAGATAATATCTTGGACTTGAGTATAAGAACAGAAGCTGTAGATCTGTGGTCCCCAACACGGTGCCCGCGGGCGCCATGGCGCCCGCAGGGGCATTTCAATGCGCCCGCCAGGTGCTCGGGGCTGGCCTGGCCCCGGGCACATGGCGCACGGGCGCTTGCGGGGCGGGGGGCGCGCTCGCCGGGGG